ATGACAGAGTATGTTTTAGTAAATGGGAGGTAAATGTTGTGACGGTGGGAGACGAAGCTCCCTTATACACCCATATCTGACCTTCTAAATTGTGAGCGAAAATTGAGTCTAAACTATGGAACACCTCATTGATGAACCTACTTATTTAACTTATTACAATGATCTGATTAGTAATAATATTTAATTTTGGAAGCAATTAGATTGAAAGTTTAACCTCCCTTTTTTCAAATGTAATTATATTTCTGGTCAAGGGGTGTGCGATAGACTTACCTCCACGTGGTGCACCCTGGGCAACGTATACTAATACGGCAAAATAGTCTAAACTCAACAGTTGACTTCAAAATATCATGTTCCGCCTGAAATGAAACTATAAGAGAAATCACTTTTGTCAGGGAAACATATTCACAATCATGGAAGCCAACCTTACGGATGAAAACCTCAAACACTACCAATTTCCGGGTTACACCTTATACCTTCTACCTAAAGACCGGCAAATTGTAAGTGAAATTTTGACTGGAGTAAAAGAAGGCCTCACCTCACATTGCGAACTAATCAGGAGTATGGGTTCGAAACAAGATGTATGCGAAATAATCAGATTAAATGTTTGGAAACTTTAAAATCACTTCAAGATATACGCAGTCTATAATCCAGCCCAGAATAGACCCAACTTCGATCTTCTGGACATCTCACATAGAACCGTATTACTAAGAGACTTCAACGCCCATTCCACTAGATGGGCTGTAAGAATATAAACATAGCTGGAAAGGAAATCGAAGACATGCTTAACAGCAACACTCTGGAACTTATTTATAGGAATAAGGATCCGGCTACATATGAAGATCCGGCTACATATTTGCACTACAATGGATCCAGAACAATAGCAATGAGAATCCGGCTACATATTTGCACTACAATGGATCCAGAACAACTCCTGGCTGCTCCTGGCTTCAAGCGACATCAGTACGCATATTAGCCGCAAAATAATTGACGATCCTGGTTCTGGTCACACGCCGCAAAATAATAGACTGGTTTTGGTCACAAACCAGGCAAAATAATTGACGATCCTGGTTCTGGTCACAAACCAGTCCGTGAAATAATTGACGATCCTGGTTCTGGTCACAAACCAGTCACCGCAAAATAATTGACGATCCTGGTTCTGGTCACAAACCAGTCATTGATTACCATCGGCAGTGCAAAAGCATGAGATGGAGAGTGCCAACTAAGCTATCATGGAACTTCAAGAAGGCACAACGAATGTGCCAACTAGGCTATCATGGAACTTCAAGAAGGCTGAAACTGGCCAAGATTCACAAACCTTTTAGACAATGAACTTCGCACAAGTCCCCTCAACTTCAACCAACATCTTGACAAACTTTGGATCATATCATGAATATTATGATCAGATGTGCAAAGAAAACTACATGATATCATGAATATTATGATCTGACAAACTTTGCACTAATATCACGAATATTATGATCAGGATTGGAGAAAACTATTTGGGAAGACTAAACACTATCGAGTGTTTTGGTCTAAACACCCGAGTATTATGATCAGATGTGCAAAGAAAACTATTCCCCGAGGCTCATGATTAGATGTGCAAAGAAAACTATTCCCCGAGGCAAGATTACACACTATCGAGTGTTTTGGTCTAAACACCTTGAGGTAGCAAATATTATGATTAGATGTGCAAAGAAAACTATTCCCAGAGGCAAGACTAAACCAATATCTAGATAGTCTAAACACCTTGAGGAACTGAAAAGAAAGCGGGACGTTCTAGACACCTTGAGGAACTGAAAAGAAATCGGGACGCCCTGTGAACACCTTGAGAAACTGAAAAGAAAGCGGGACGCCCTTGAACACCTTGAGGATAAACACTATCGAGTGTTTTGGTCCAAACACCTTGAGGAAGCTAAAAGAAAGCGGGACGCCCTTCGCAACACTGCTGATCAGTGTAAGAGGGACGCCCTTCGCAACACTGCTGATCAGACTGGGAGGGACGCTCTTTGCAACACTGCTGATCAGACTGGAAGACGGGACGCCCTTCGCAACACTGCTGATCAACCTGGAAGAACGGAAGACGTAAAAGCCTGGAGACGACAAGACGCCCTTCGCAAAACTGCTGATCAGACTGGAAGAACGCGTACAAACCTGGAGACGACAATCAGCTGTCCTAAGGCAAGCCATCTTACAAGCAAAACGGACGTCCTTCGACAAGTTCATCTCAAATATCAACTAAACCGGACTTCCTTCAACAAGTTCATTTCAAATATCAGCTATTACGGACTTCCTTCGACAACTTCATCTCAAATATCAACTATGAAACTTACTTCGACAAGTTCATCTCGAATATCAACTATCAAACTTCCTTCGACGTCATCTCAAATAGCTATCAAAGTGATAGCCAACGCACTAAGACCCAAGAAAGAATCAATATGCTTAAAATCAAATTGCCAGACCCAAGAAAGAACCAATACGCTTAAACAGCAAATTGCGCCACAGACACCGAAATAGCTAACTGCTTTGCGAGGTTCTATCCCACAAGCCAAAGAAAAACCCTTCTGTCAGAAAATCTTCAAGAGATTTACTAGAAAACCCTTTTGTCAGAAAATCTTCAAGAGATTTAAAGAATACGAGTAAGACAGTTTGGTGAAAGTAAGGAAGACATCGCAACACCAAATAATGTTCTTACTGAACCATTCAGACCTTGCGAACTTAATACTGCGATAAAACAGCTCAAGTGCAAACAAATCTCCTGGCGAAGACGGTATCTCCAGAATTTCTAATTAGAATGGGACCAAAAGCCAAGGAACCCGGAATTTCTAATTAGAATGGGACCAAAAGCCAAGGAAATCATGTTGACGCTTTACATCAAAATCTGTGAGACCAGTCTCGTACCCAGCCAATGGAAAGTTGCCATAGTAATACCAGTACTAAAAATGGCAAGGACCCTAGCAACTTTGACAACTATAGCCCTATCTAGGGCAAAGACCGTAGAAACTTTGACAACTATAGGTCTATATCCCTCACAAGCGTGCTGGCTAAAC